ATTGCATATGAAAAGATTTAATTTAATTTACTTTTTAAACTCAATTTTATATCGGGTAACGATTCTCTAAAATTGAAATAACTATAATTATACAATAACTTATTATAAAGTAAAAGACTTTAAAACACTACTTAGTTAATTAAATTAATTTAGTAACATAACGAAGTAATTTATTTGTGTCTTTTATTATGATTAGGTCACAGTCCAGTAAACAAAAACAAAAAACAATACCTATGTTGCCAAAGTCAAGGTTACATCATTTTTATGAAATAGTAGTCAGCTGACACCATATATATATATATATATATATATATATATATATATATATATATATATATATATATGTATATGTATATATACATACACATACACATACACATACACATACACATACACATACACATACACATACACATACACATACACATACACATACACATACACATACACATACACATACACATACACATACACATACACATACACATACACATACACATACACATACACATGCATATAAACATACGCATACGCAGACACATGAACAGACACACAGACACAAACACACACAGACACACACAGACACACAGTATAAGTATACATATACATATTTTTATGTATGATTTTAATGGCGTATATACGAGGAATATTTAGATTACTTTACACCACTAATAAGGCTACGCCTAAGACCAACACTAGATGCGTCTATGGTTACCGTCAAGGATAAAAATTCGGTATGTGTATCTCTACAAAGCTGACGGGTTGTCGTTAAACTTACGTGTCATGCAGTAGAATGTTGGCTGTCATCCGTTAAGTCCCGTAGGTTTGTTTAAATTAGGGCACTAGTCACTGTGACCTAGATTATACGATTCAAGTCTGCTGACCTATATTCTTTTCACGTGGGGTCAGCTTTTGTTTGGTGTCTGATGGGACAAAGTGGGTTGGTCACACTTTCGAAAGAAAATGTAGATAATAATATTAATTTACAAGTTCTATGGTATTATTGGTGCTTATAAATACTTTTGTTTAGATGTATATGTATTAGTTACTATAAGTATGTTATCTGTATGTATATATATATATATATATATATATATATATATATATATATATATATATATATATATATATATATATATATATATATATATATATATATATATATATATATATATATGTGTGTGTGTGTGTTTGTGTGTGTGTGTGTTAAGGACAAAACTGAAGGTCGGCCAATGCACCAGTCAATGCGTACATTGGCAAGTATTACTACCCGGCAAAAAAGTCTGACTTTTTAAAAAAATTTTCTTGAATAACGGTAATAACTTACAGTGACAGCATCTCTTCTCTCTCCTCGTCGCTCCCCCCCCCCCCCCCCCCCCAAAAAAAAAGTATTACCCCCCCCCAAACGCAAATTGAAATTTATATATATATATATATATATATATATATATATATATATATATATATATATATATATATGTATGTAGGCTATATGATATAATTTCTTTCACTCTTTTACTTTGTCAAAAGTTAACAATTTTGTTTGTATTTTAATGATTCAAGGGAGACAAATGTAGATAATATAGCTTCAACAACTAAACAAGAGTAATTAAATAGTATTCAAAATAAATTTTCTCTTTTATTTATACGATTTGATTAAAGTAAACATTATCACTTGAATTCTTGTCAATATTAATGAGAAATGTTTAATAATTAAACTTAAGCCTGTCAGTTATTTCAGCTATATACACTTTAGTATTAAACTAAAGCAAAATTAAATATTAAATTTTTAAAATTAGAAACTATTGATTTACTCTTCAAGCGTTGAAATTGCTAACACTTAATTTACTAAACCAGGGGTCGGCAACCTTTTGAAGCGGAAGAGCCAAAAGTTACAATTTTCAAAATTTCCCTGGTTTTAAAGAGCCACTAACATTTTTTTATTTCAAATATTTTATTTTTTTATTAAGATTATTAGTATTTGTGCAAGGAACTGAAGAGCCGCATCTTGATATCAAAAGAGCCGCATGCGGCTCGCGAGCCGCAGGTTGCCGACCCCTGTACTAAACATATTATGAATATTAAGGCAAACACATATGAAAACAGAGAATTTAAAAACAGACAAAAAAAAATGATACATTTTGCTAATATTATTAGATCTATTTGTTGATGGGTAGAAATTTGCCCTAAGAATGATTTTAAGAGTCAGAATAGGGAAGGGGTGGTGTGAAATTCATAAGTAGCTACAACACACCTGACTATCCTGTTCAGCACGGTTAAAAATAGAATCAATCGTGTGTTAAACGTATGTTGTCGGACAGGCGGATTAGTATCCACATGTTTGAGCTAAATTTCAACTTTATGACTGTATTGACTTACAAGCTCTATCATATTTGCTGAGGCTGTAAATATAATTTGTACAAAATATCTTAAAAAAATAAAAACTCATGATAAAATATACAGAGAACTAGTCTTAGGGAATGTGTATATTTAAAGCTCAATATAAAACATATAACATTCGGTTTTAGGTATAGGCTCAATGAAATTAAATTGCGTGTATAATTAGTATAATGTAATTAATTAGGTTAACGTCACCAAAAAACTCGACTACGTGGTTGATTTGCATTCAGACAAACAGATCGTTAGCGAGGCACCATAATGGTGTAGAGCTAAGTCATGGTTTCAATTGATGGGGGGGGGGGGGGGGGGGGGATGGGCACTTTAAACTTCAGAGCTGGAACTTCAGTTGTTTTTTTTTGTTGGGAAAGGGGGGGGGGTCGGACACCGGTTAAAGTATTTATTGTATTAATAATTTGAAAAATTTGGGTGGGGTGATGGGCGTGATCTAGGTTTTGGGTGGGGCGAGGGTGTGGTGGGCGTGTTTAAGGGTTGGGGTGGGGAGGGGTGGTTTGCTTGCTCTGGGGGGCGTGCTCTAGGTTTGGCGTAGTGGGGGTTGGCGTGTTTCAAAGGTGGGGTGTGGGGGGGGTCGTGTTCCAGGGTTAGAGTGGAGAAAGGTTGGTGAGCTTGTTTCTGGGTTAGGGGGTGTTCCAGGGTCGTGGGTGGTGGGCGTGTTTCATGTTTGGGGTGAGGGAAACGGTGGTAGTGCTCTAGGATTGGGATGGGGATGTGGTCGGGGGAGGCATTATTCTTCATCATTCTTAAATTTTAATTTTGTCAAAGATTCCCTTTGTCCAACCAAGAACAAACTACAAGGCAGCAGTTGTTTGATTTGGGAGTCGTCTCTCCTAAATGAATGGCTGTCCCCAGCTATCGAGTCTCATCTGCCCGGGTTCGACCACATGTGTTTTCTCAGCATAGGGTCTGTGATCACAGGCGGTTTGTCAACGGGTGTTTGATCACAAGCACTGTGTCAGGTTTGACCACAGGTTAGAACTCGAGACTTTTTAGTTCAGCAACCATGAGCTTAACCAACCCGACCACCTTTTATTGAGATAAACTTAACAAAATGGATGTTTCTTTAAAAATGTGCAGGGTCCGGCTTTATTCTTTTACAACATATGGGCTGACCTGACACAGAAGCTTTATTAAATTAAGTTTGGTAGCAATTAAGTCTAAAACTATTCAGGTATTATACTAATTCATAAGAGTTCAAGTTAGATGTATAACTTCAAATTAGCTCTCTGTAAATGGGCCTAGCTGTAAGCCAAGGTGTGATCTCCCCAGTATTTTGTTCCAATTGTAAATACTTAACACTCTGATACATGAGATGTTTGATTTGAACAGTTAATATTATAGATATTGATCTAGTAGTAATATCTATTGTTTCATCTATTTATCACGTGTGTTAAAACGTTAACATTTTTAAAAACAAAACAAAAATTGACAAAGAACTTTTATTGCTTTGAAGTTATTTCACACAAGTCTTTGCGAACAAAAATAAGTATTTGGACACCTAATGCGATCTGATGGAAATTCTAAGTCAATACAAATTAGTTTTAGTTTTTACTGGTACAACAATATTGATAAAAAACAATCACAACTTCATAAAAATTGGTCTGACAATGCCTGTTGAAACCCTAACTAGAAATACAAGAATGATTGATTTAAACAATTATACATAATATGGTATCTAGTAGTTATATTTTATGCCATATAATTATCACGTGTGTTAGGCATTTACATTTTAAAAACATAAAAAAATTGAAAAAAAAACCCCAACTTTTAGTGCTTTGAAGTCTTTACAAAAAAAAAAACAAAAAAAAAAACATGTTCTAAATTATTTTGACAGACTAATACGATATGACAGAAATTCTAACAACGTCAATTCAAAATAGCTTTTAGTAGTACAACAATATTGAAAACAAAACACAACTTCATAAAAATTGGTCTAACAATGCCCATTGAAAATCTAACTAGAAATACGAGGATGCTTAATTTGAACAATTATAAATATGGTATCAAGTATATATTTATTATTCCTATCTATTTATCAAGTGTTTTTTAACGTTTACATTTAAAAAAATTATAAAAAACATTTTGCGCTTTGAAGGAAGTTATTTCTAAGTCTTTGGAAAATAAAACAAAAACATGTTCACATTTTTTTGGACGACTAATACGATATTATAGATATTAATACTAAAGGAATGCAAATTGTTTTTTACTGGTACAGCAATATTGATTACAAAATACAATTTTTTTAACAAATGATCTAACATTGCCTGGTGAAAGCCTTGTTAGAAATACGAAAAAACTACAACTTAGCACGGTTCAAAAAGGAGTACAATGAATTTTCATTTAACAGAAAAAAATGTAATATCAATGTTTTGATTATTTTTTAATAATCAACTTTTATACATGCAATGATGCGATGAAAGGAAATTATAATATATAATACATAATAATGACGAGTTATTGCTAAGATTAAAACTTGAATGCACACTTATAAATATAAATAATTAAAGAGAAAAATAATTCAAATTTTATAAAGAAAGGTTTAATTAAGTAATTAATCAATTTTAATTTTGAAAATGTATGGACATTTCAATACTGATAATATGAATAGAACTTAATCTAACGATTATTTGAGTCAAATAGCACCATAAAAGTAGCACCATAAATTTAGCACCATAAACGTATGTTGCACAATAACTGCACAATGTTTAAAGTAATAGATAAGCGACAATGTAGTGAGAGATGCACAAGGAAAATGAATATTGGCAAGAGACGTATTCTAAGCAATGGCATTCAAATCTTCTTCCAGCGATCCATTCCTGAAGGCCATCTAAATAAATAAAATAATAAAGCATTAGAGAAATATATATGTATATACACACATACATAAGTATTTACTGATATATATATATATACGTAATTCTGTACACACACACACACACATATAAATATATATATATATATATATATATATATATATATATATATATATGTTTGTGTGTGTACGTGTGTATATGTGTGTGTATGAAAAAGATAAGAAATAAAGGTTTGAAAGACTTTATCTGAAACCATAAAAGTGTATTCAGATCGAATTGGTTTAACAAAAGAAGTCTAGAATCTATGCGTACCTACATGTATAGCCCTGTCTGTTTAGAATCTATACATACATACATGTTTAGCTAAATCTGTTGTACAAATATACTAGACTAGAACAAATATCTGGCACAGTCAGATGAAGAGCTGCATGTTTCATAACGTCATTATGGTCAGCAGCTAGAGCCGTGGGTTCCGGTCAGGCTTTAATACCCCCCCCCCCCCAACAGAAGGTGACAGTAAGAGAACCTGGGTATCGATTACATGACTTTCATTTCATGACATTTCCACAAGCCAGGCATAAAAAAAATCTATATGATAAGACAGTACAGAGACCAACTAGCAGCAACCCTTAACTCTCGAATTCAGATCTTGGGCTCACGTTTTTTTTGTTTTTTTTTTTGAATTAGCTGAAACACAATCCCTTCATATGTTGGGGTAAAAAACAAATAACAACATAACTTTACTTCTTCTGCATTATGAAAAGCCAAGTTTTAAATTGTAATTTGAAAATGAACCTAAAAATATAACGGAAATATAGCGGTAAAAACTTACCTGATCACTATTGCTAACAGCTGCTTTTCTGGGACCTTCAGTTTCCTTATTATTGACTTGTTTTTTGATCAGATATTCAACGTTTTCTGATAAATCAAATTATATATTCAGCAAACGAATAAACATCAAATAATTCAAAACAACTAGTGAAGTAAATATAAAACTGTTTATATATATATATATATATATATATATATATATATATATATATATATATATATATATATATATATATATATATATATATATATATATATATATATATATATATATATACATACATACAATAGGCTATATACGTATATAGATATGGCAATTTAAAGTTAAAAATTATACAAACCTAGAACGTCCAGTGTCCGATTAATCTTAGCCTCAATCACCCCTGCACCAAAATAAATCGATTATATATATATATATATATATATATATATATATATATATATATATATATATATATATATATATATATATATATATATATATAATTTATATTAATATTCATATTTCATATTTATATGCGTACACACATCAACTTAACCCAATAAAATTAATTTAAATATACATTTATTCTGATCTCTAATAATATCAAGTCAAAAAGGTTATATTTAAACTAACTTTGACCATGAAGTAGAAAGTTTAGTTTTTTGTTAAACTCATTACATGCCATCATTGGTCTTCTTAGTTTAGCGTCACCTGAAGAAATAGATAACGTAACTTTAAAACATTTCTGTTCGCACTTGTAAAATCTCGATTTAAAACATGATTTTATAAACTGTATATTAATGTGTAAGGAAATAATGACTTTAAGAAAACCTTTTGATTTTTAAAAATAAGTTTTAAAAATGGTCACACCTTCCATTCATTCACACCCACACACACACCCACACCCACACACACCCCCGCACACACACACTCACACAAACACACTCATTCAAACACACACACACACACTTACACACATACAAACACATACATAAGCACACAATAACAAAAAAAATGCAAGCACACTAGCACACACACACACACAAACATATATACATATATATATATATATATATATATATATATATATATATATATATATATATATATATATCCTTAGATCAATATAATTACCTTTGAATTTCACACTGAACTTAACCAGTATTTCATGTCCGAATAATATTTTCCATTCCCCTTCCAGCTTGTTTTCGTATAGTTTTACCACAACTACAACTCTCAAGTGTTTCCGATTGATTGTCTGTGTTGTGACTTTAATTAAGTTGATGTGGCTGTCAAAAATCGTCACTTCCGGTATATTTCCGCATGTATCGATCTGATAGATGGGCTCTTCATTGATTTTACCTTGATACATTCCAGATTGAAAGGAGGGTATAACACGGGTGATGGTACAACGTTCATTCTTCATGCATATCTCATCTTCACCTTTGCAGACTGAGATAAATCAAAAGTATGCATTATCTGAAAGTTTACATGCTACTATATCAAGATTTCAATTTTTACAAAAATCAAAATTTATAAATTATGTCTGTCAAAAATTATGTCTATCAAAAATTAAAAATTATGTCTGTCTTTAATTCGTTTAGTTATATGAAAGTGTACATGTTACTATATCACGATATCAAACGATAAACGAAAAATATCAAACGTTCCTAAATCATGTCTTACTCTAATTCTTTTGATTAAAGTATAGTCAAAGAGTTTAACTCGAGCAGTAAGCATATGCCCACTATTGAGTTTGATATGTGATTATTTCACAATTCAATATTGTATTCTGTATTTGTTAGATTAGAAACATTTATTATTTCATACAGTGGTTGAATTATAGAGCGTTTTCTACTAGCTCGAATGTATCAAGTTCAGATCTCAGTTCAGAATTGTGACTGTTAGGAATTTCCTGAGCCAGTAAATCTCTGATAAGTACCTTTCTTATGTTGGGAAAGGAAAGGCTCTTCAAATGCCGAGGTCAAGAATCATATTATTATGTTCAGAAACTTTTGCATTTAAAAAAATAATGATAGAGACTGACTTTAAGTTGTTTTTATGTGTTTTAGAAAAAATAAATAGAAATTGACCGAGCTCAGTATTTCAAAAACAAAAAAATCGATGTTTAAAAAAATCTAACAGCAATTTTGAAGGGGTGGGGGGTAGGGTGGGGGTGGGGGTTTAGACTGATTGCAGCGCCATTTTAGGTTGGGGGAGGACATTGTGCAGTTATGTTGCTACATTTATATTACTACACTTATAGTGCTACATTTATGGTGATACTTTTATGGTGCTATTTAAAATTATTTGTTACGAGCATGAGACTCAAATTGTTGATAGTGTAATTTCTATTCATATTTATCAGTATTGAAATGTCCGTTAATTTCCTAAATAAAAATTGATTAATTATTTAATTAATCCTTTCTTATAAAATTTGAATACATTTTTTTTTCTTTTTACTCATTTATATTTATAATTGTGCATGCTTGTTTTAATCATAACAGTAACTCGTCACTATTATGTATTATATATATATATATATATATATATATATATATATATATATATATATAGGGGGAGGTAAAATACGTTAAAAAGCATGCCGTCTTATATGGATGATCCTTTTAGCAACAAGCCTTACCTGAGAAAAAGTAAAGCATAACCAAGTAGAGAGGTCTGATTGCTTTCATCTGAAAATAAAAATAATTTTCTAAAATGTATCATTAGTTTACATAAAACAAAGAATACTGCAAATTAAAAAAAATAATATGTTATGAGCTGGTACGAATTATTTACATATGGCTGATCAATAGTTATGGATCCAGGTTGTAATCGGAAATTTATATTTGATTAGCCTTGATTATAATTAGTTTTTTTTTCTCTACTTACATTATTTAACCTTTTTTTAAAAAAATAAGTTTTAAAAATTGTCACACCTTCTATACATTTAGACACACACACACGCTCTCTCTCTCTCTCTCTCTCTCTCTCTCTCTCTCTCTCTCTCACACACACACACACACACACTCTCAGGTTTGAACCGTCAGGTTTGAAAGGGAAACTTTACTTTTTACTCCCCCCCCCCCCCCCCCCCGACACACACCCCAAAGAAAAAAATATCTCTGTGGTTAACCAAAAACAATGTGCTGCAATAGTCCTATTATTTTTTAAATTTAAAAAAAAATAATTTGTTGGCGTTTCTTAATTTTACCATTTTCGTTATTTCATACCAAGGAGTAAAACTTGGAATTCGATGGAGAAAAAAAAATTACATCGAAAATTTACATCTGGGGTTTAGGGTCCCCTTTTTAAAATGTCCCGGCCCTTTTGGACACAGCCCGTCCACCCCCAGGTTTTCACAAATAATACTGTTATATTAGCTCCATTTATGATTTTTGCTGAGCCTAACTGAGCCTAAATTTAAAAAGCTTATCAAACTTCATGACGTGAACCTTGACAACATTGATAATGCTATCCCTGTATATTCTCAAATAAGCTCCATGCGAATTTTAGGTACAAAGAAAAATCATTATTATTTGAAAAAAAAAACCTTATAAAAGAAAAAGAAAAACTACCCAATTTTGGGTAAAAAAATATAATTTTGTTAACAACTTAAAGGGAAAAAAAGAATTAGGGCCTACACAATATTTTTGTGTCTATTCGAAGATAGTATTCATTGTCTAGGTCTGAATTTAAGTAGGGTGGTCTTCAAAGTTAACTATATAAAAGATGTAGAGGAACTACATAATCTTATAAAGTTTAACTAGAAAATTGTAAACTGCATGATTTATGCTACACTGTGAAAGAATCCTTAAGGTTTTTTTTTTAAATTATTGAATTTTATTAAGGACATTGACACTTTATTCCCGCCAGAAACATATAATATTTATATACATAAAAGTTGAATTATTTCTGCCTAGCTAAAATCATACCTTAATGCAACACACGTCTTCGTAGCGAATTATCTCGGAATTATCGATAAATACACCTGTTTTTAAAAAAACGTGTAAATGACACTTCAAAATTCGGACTTTCCCGATTATCTACGTGGCCCAAATTGGGGTCAGGTGTTTCAAAGTAACCAATAAAAAAAATTTAAAATAAAAGATGGCGCTATTGTATACACATCATCGAAAATTGCCAATGTATATTGAAAAAACCGGCGTGCATTTCAAATAATGACACAAATAACTACATTAATCATAAGATTAATCACAATCACAGCCTTAGAGATCATAATTTGTGAAGGAAAGGGAATGCCAGGTGGGTTATAATCCCATCCACCTCAGAAACCAACCCAATCAAACTCCCACTACCGACTCTAATAAACCACAAGTTTAATTTTTAAATATTGAATAACGCATACATTGGCAAAATTAATGACTGAATAAAGATGATGGAAGGGAAATGTGGTCTTCATGAGAATAAAAATTATGATCAATTTTTTAAAATTTCTTTTCCATTATGATATTTTAGATTTTAACTTTGAAGGCTGAATTATACTTTTCATCAGAAGTGAGCTGGCCCGCCGGGTTATCGGGAAAATCCCGGTAACACCCCCCCCCCCCCCCCCCAAGTGGTCTAGCGGTAGAGAGCTGGACTGCTAACCCGTAAGTCTCGAGTTCGAATCCGGGTTCAAGTTAGTAGACCATCCCTGAGTCCACCCAACTCTGATGGGTACCTAACTAAGGTTAGGGAAAGTAAAGGCGGTTGGGCATAGTGCTGACCACACTATCTCTTCATATGCCGAGGTCACAGAAACAAGTGAACTCTACTTCACTTGCCCCATAGACCGTCAGGTTTGAAAGGGAAATTTTACTTTTTTCTCCCCCCCCCCCACACACCCCCCAAAAAAAAGATATCTCTGTGGTTAACAAAAAAAAAATGTGCTGCAATAGTCCTATTATTTTTTAAATTTAAAAAAAAATAATTTGTTGGCGTTTCTTAATTTTACCATTTTCGTTATTTCATACCAAGGAGTAAAACTTGGAATTCGATGGAGAAAAAAAAATTACATCGAAAATTTACAACTGGGGTTTAGGGTCCCCCTTTTAAAATGTCCCGGCCCTTTTGGACACAGCCCGTCCACCCCCAGGTTTTCACACACCACCAGAATTCTTATAAGTTTTATCGAATTCATAAGGTGGATTTATAAGTTACATTTTTAACTTCATGTAGAATATTACAAGACGAGCGCTTATAATTTAGATGGTACGGTGAATGAAGGCCAAATTGTAAACAATAATCATTTTTAAAATAAAATACAATTAATGTATGAATGTGGCTAAAAAATGAGTGTTTTTTTTTTAAAAAAACTTTATCGGTGATTTTCTCTATTATTAGATTTAAAAAAAGGTCATATAAGCAAGATGCTCGTATTTAAAGGCTAGACTCGGCTAGAGTCTTATTCTGATTACGTGTATTCTATTTATAGAAGACAAAAACTGCGATATTTGGAAATTTCCGGTGACGACATTATTTATTATCAGAAGTATCAAACACTGAATTTCTTTCATAACTTAAAAGACGCAGTTCTCTGCGTTTACATTGGTACTTTATTATTAAAGACAGCCCAGAAAACGTCTTGTATCTGGGTTCTATCTGTCGTTAACTGACTCACAGGTACACACCAGCTACACATCAGTAACACGGTACACAGTGAGCACACAAGGGACGTAACTACAATATACACAATTCAATACGTAACAGTATATAGGCCTAGGCCTACTCTTTATTAGAGTACTAAAATATCTCAAGTGAAATCGTTAAAAAAAGTTTCACATTTATGGAAAATAATACTATTATATTAGCTACATTATGATTTTTACTGAGCCTAATTGTGCCTAAATTTAAAAAGCTTATCAAACTTCATGCATGAACCTTGACAACATTGATAAAGCTATCCCTGTATATTCTCAAATAAGCTGCGTGCGAATTTTAGGTACAAAGAAAAATCATTATTATTTGAAAAAAAAAACCTTATAAAAGAAAAAGAAAAACTACCCAATTTTGGGTAAAAAAATATAATTTTGTTAACAACTTAAAGGGAAAAAAAATAGGGCCTACACAATATTTTTGTGTCTATTCGAAGATAGTATTCATTGTCTAGGTCTGAATTTAAGTAGGGTGGTCTTCAAAGTTAACTATATAAAAGATGTAGAGGAACTACATAATCTTATAAAGTTTAACTAGAAAATTGTAAACTGCATGATTTATGCTACACTGTGAAAGAATCCTTAAGGTTTTTTTTTTAAATTATTGAATTTTATTAAGGACATTGACATTTTATTCTCGCCAGAAACATATAATATTTATATACATAAAAGTTGAATTATTTCTGCCTAGCTAAAATCATACCTTAATGCAACACACGTCTTCGTAGCGAATTATCTCGGAATTATCGATAAATACACGGGTTTTTAAAAAACGTGTAAATGACACTTCAAAATTCGGACTTTCCCGATTATCTACGTGGCACTATTTGGGGTCAGTGTTTCAAAGTAACCAACAAAAAAATAATAAATAAAAGATTGCGCTATTGTATACACATCATCGAAAACTGCCAATGTATATTGAAAAAACCGGCGTGCATTTCAAATAATGACACAAATAACTACATTAATCATAAGATAAATCACAATCACAACCTTAGAGATCATCATTTGTAAAGGTAAAGGGAATGCCAGGTGGGTTATAATCCCATCCACCTCAGAAACCAACCCAATCAAACTCCCACTACCGACTCTAATAAACCACAAGTTTAATTTTTAAATATTGAATAACGCATACATTGGCAAAAAAATGACTGAATTAAGATGATGGAATGAAAATGTGGTCTTCATGAGAAAAAAATTATCATCAATTTTTTTCAAATTTCTGTTCCAGTATGATATTTTAGAATTTAATTTTGAAGGCTGAATTATATTTTTCATCAGAAGTGAGCTGGCCCGCCGGGTTATCGGGAAAAATCCCGGTACCCCCCCCCCCCCCCAAGTGGTCTAGCGGTAGAGAGCTGGACTGCTAACCAGTAAGTCTCGAGTTCGAATCCGGGTTCAAGTTAGTAGACCATCCCTGAGTCCACCCAACTCTGATGGGTACCTAACACACGTTAGGGAAAGTAAAGGCGGCTGGGCATAGTGCTGACCACACTATCTCTTCATATGCCGAGGTCACAGAAACAAGTGAACTCTACTTCACTTGCCCCATAGACCGTCAGGTTTGAAAGGGAAACTTTACTTTTTACTCCCCCCCCCCACGCACACCCCAAAGAAAAAAATATCTCTGTGGTTAACCAAAAACAATGTGCTGCAATAGTCCTATTATTTTTTAAATTAAAAAAAAAAATTTGTTGGTGTTTCTTAATTTTACCATTTTCGTTATTTCATACCAAGGAGTAAAACTTGGAATTCGATGGAGAAAAAAAAATTACATCGAAAATTTACAACTGGGGTTTAGGGTCCCCCTTTTAAAATGTCCCGGCCCTTTTGGACACAGCCCGTCCACCCCCAGGTTTTCACACACCACCAGAATTCTTATAAGTTTTATCGAATTTACAAGGTGGATTTATAAGTTACATTTTTAACTTCATGTAGAATATTACAAGACAAGCGCTTATAATTTAGAATCTAGGCCTACGGTGAATGAAAGCAAAATTGTTAACAATAATCATATATAAAATAAAATAAAATTAATGTATGAATGTGTCTAAAAAAAAAGAGTGATTTTTAAAAAACACGTTATCGGTGATTTTCTCTATTATTATATTTAAAAAAGGTCATGTTAGCAAGATGCTCGTATTAAAAGGCTAGAGTCCATAATTCTGATTAAGTGGCTTCTATTTATAGAAGACAAAAACTGCGGTATTTGGAAAATTTACGATGAAATCATCATTTATTATTAGAAGTATTACACACTGAATTTCTTTCATAATTTAAACAGACGCAGTTCTCTGAGTTAACAGTGGTATTTTATTATTATAGACAGCCCAGAAAACGTGTCTTGTATCTGGGTTCTATCTGTAGTTAACTTACAGGTAACAACAGCTACACATTAGCTACACATCATGTACACGGTAAACAGTGTGCGTACAAGGGACGTAACTACAATATACACACTTCATTACGTAACAGAATATACTCTCTATTTGAGTACTAAAATATCTCAAGTGAAATCGTTAAACAAAAAGTGTCATATTTATGAAAATAATACTGTAATATCATCTTCATTAATGATTTTAACTGAGCCTAAATTTAAAAACTTACCAAGCTTCATGATGTGAAGCTTGATAACATGTATACAGCTATCACTACCTATTCTCAAATTAGCCTTATGCGAATTTTAGGTACAAAGAAAAATTATTATTATTTGAAAAAAGCCTAAAAACAAATACCCAATTTTAGGTACAAAGAAAAAAAAAAACTACACAATATTTTTTGTCTATTCGTAGATAGTATTCATCGTCTATGTTTAAATTTACGAAAGATGGCCTTCAAAGCTAACTATATAAAAGAAGTAGAGGACCTACATAATCTCATAAAGTGTAACTTCATGATCATCGCTACACTGTGAAAGAAACCTAGAGGATCTTTAAACGTATTGAATTTTAATTAGGGACATTGACGTTGATTTTATTCGCGCCAAAAACAAATGTACTATTTATATACAAGAAAGTTTAATTAATTCTAACAAGCTAAAAAAATACCTTAATGCAATGCACGTCTTCGTAGAGAAATATTTCGGAATTGACGATAAATACACTTTTTATTTCAAACACTTGTATTTGCCACTTCAAATTCGAAGAACTTTCTCGATTACGGCGGATTAAGTCAGGTCTATCGCGTGTTCAAAGTAACCAATAAAAAAACACATTAACAGATTGCGCTATTGTATAGGCCTACCCATCAACGAAAATTGTCAATTTACATAGGAAAAAAAACGGTGTGCAACAGCTCAGAGAATATGT